GTTGCACCATTATAGTTTTCATACATATTTAATTCAAGAAAGTTTAATTCAATTAAGTTGTAATTAAAAATTTGAAATTTAGTGAATTCTTAATCAACACCTGTGAAACATGACTATCAGTACTATTAGTGACTAAACTGTGCCATATGTAAGCAGTGATAAGTTGGCAATGACAAGTTCGATTGTCATTTATGTCAATTGTCAATCAAGTTGTGGTTACAACATTACACTTTTCATATATATTTAATTCAGAAACTTTTAATTTAAATCAATTTAATTAAACATTTATATCTCATTTCAGTCCTAATACTTATGAAATATTACTGTCAGATATGTCAGAAGTATCAAAATGACAAGGACAAGTACCGCTATCATTTATGTCAAACGTCAATTAAATTGTGGTTACACCATTACACTTTTCATACATATTTAATTCAAGAATTTTTAATTCAATTAAATTATAATTAAACATTTATAATTTAGTGAAATCTCAATCAACACCTATGAAACAGTGATAAGTTGGCAATGACAAGTGCGACTGACATATATGTCAATTGTCAATTAACACTTTTCATATTTAATTCAGGAATTTTCAATTCAAATAAATTATAATTAAAAATATATAACTTAGCGAAAATTTTAATAAAAACCAATAAAACATAACTAACAGTTACTATTAGTGAATAAACTGTCAGATATACATATACATATCTGACAGTTTAGCAATGACATGTTTGCAATGACAATTAGGACTGTCATTTATGTCAAATGTCAATCAAGTTAAGGTTACAGCATTAAATTTTTCATATATATTTAATTCAGAAAATTTTCAAATAAGTTTTAATTAAACATTTATAAATTAGTGAAATCTCAAAAATCACTTATGTTACGTAACTGTCAGTTATTTTTAGTGAATAAACTATCAGATATGTTAGCAGTGACAATTTGGCACAAGTGCTACGTCTTTAATGTCAAATGTCAATCGAATTGAGGTTACAACATTAAACTTTTCATATATATTTAATTCAAACTTTTAATTCAATTAAGTTATAATTAATCATTTACAATTTAGAGAAATCTCAATAAAAAACCTATAAAAGTTACTTTTGGTGACTAAATTGTCAGATATGTTAACAGTGACAAGTTGGTAATGACAAAGACAACTGTCATATATGTCAAATGTCAATCAAGTTGAGGTTACAAATATAATCGGATTTAATTAATTTACGTAATTCCATAATACAAATTAATGCATTTAATTAATTTAATATTGTTTATACATAAATCTCGATTGGACTAACCAATTCTCACCAATTCACACGTTCACTTGTGCAATTCCCACTTCACGCCTAATTTGCAGCTTATGTCGCAACAAATATTAATTAATTAGCCCATATAATTACAATTATATAATTGATTAAACACTAATTGCTCGTAACCGCATTACACAATATAATGTTTCGAATATAACTTTATTTAACTTTAAAAAAAAGTATTAAAATTCATATATTTGTGAATAAATATTACAAAAATATATAAATTTCGAAAACCAAAAGCTAAAAATTAATTAGTTTCAATTAATTATTTGTACAATTAAATAGAATATATTAATATGTTAAATTGAAATAAAAAGTTAAACGTTTTTATTATTTATTCTTGATTCAAATTAAATTGATCGACTTCTTCTTGAAGTGCAGTATTTACGTTGAAATTAATTTCGTAAACTGTTTCATTGGCATAGTTGAATAGGAACGGTTCGAATCGAATCGAATCGGTGAAGAATTTCTTTCCGTTTTTTTTTATTCTGCGTTTTCGTTCGTTTTCTGCGGTTGCATGAATGCAGTGAAACTTTAATTAACATTCCGTTTCAATTCGCAGTTGCGAAAGACACGTTTTTAAGAGACATTCAAAGTGATTGCACGAAACCACTCTGAAACCTGACTACTAATTAACTAATTCAATATTTGACTTACGCAAGAATTTAAAAAAAAAGTAAAAAAATATATAGAAGAAGAAAGAGAACTTGATTTGAGAGAGTTAACTACATTATCACGTTGCATAATGATGTAGAAAATTTTAATTTTCTTATTTACTTTAATAATTGTGTTTATCGATTATTTAAGTGATTATTTAAGTAAATTATCATTATAAATCTATCAAAATCTATGTATATTTTAAAAATGAGGAAAAAATTTTTGTAGAAAATGAGCCGAAAAACTTAGTGAAATCTAAATAAACACCCATGAAGATTAACTGTCAGTTACTTTTAGTGACTAAACTGTCAGATATGTTCATGATAAGTTGACAATGACAAGACATGTCAAATGTCAATCAAGTTTTTAATAACAATAGTACACTTTTCATTGTATATTCTAATAAAAAAATGTTTTTAATGCACAAAATTCACAGAGAAAAAATAAATTTTCTTTCCTGAAATTATTTCATTCTTTTTCTTACATAAAGTTTCATTACAACAATAGTACACTTATCATAATCTATGTATAATCTGAAAAAAGCTGTGATATTTCAATAAACACTGTCAGTTACTATTAGTGACTGAACTGTCAGATATGTTAACAGTGACAAGTTGGTAATGACAATGACGACTGTCATTTATGTCAAATGTCAATCAAATTTAAGTTTTTAACAACGACAGTATTTCATTGTATATTCTAATAAAAAAAAATAATGCAGAAAACTCGCAGTGAAAATTTAAATTTTCTTTCCTGAAATTAATTGATTATTTTTCTTATATAAAATTTTATTGCAATAATAGTACAGTTAATATCTATCATAATCTATGCATATTCTGAAAAAACAGTGAAATTTCAATAAACAGCATAACTGTCAATTACCATTAGTAACTAATCTGTCAGATATGTTAGTGACAAGATGCCAATGTCAAGTACGACTGTCATTTATGTCAACTGTCAATCATGTTTATGTTTTTAACAACAACAGTACGTTTTTATTGTATATTCTAATAAAAAAATGTAGAAAATTTGCTGAGAAAAATATAATTTTCTTTCCTGAAATTAATTAATTTTTTTTTTAATATAAAGTTTGATTGCAATAATACTAAACTTAGTATCTATAATAATCTATGAATATTCTGAAAAAAAAACTGAAATGAGAACAGTTACTATTAGTGGCTAAACTGTCAGATATGTTATTGACAAGTTACCAATGACAAGTACGACTGTCATTTATGTCAAATGTCAATCAAGTTTAAGTTTTAAACAACAGTACTCTTTTTCTTTCCTGAAATTATTTGATATAATTATTTATTTACATTCTGAAAAACTGTAACATTTGTTATAGAAAATGATCAGAAAACTAATTTTTACAATTCTCTATTTATTTTGTCAATTAAAATACGATAAGTAAAATACAGTCATTCCATTCCAATTATGCTGCTTCTTTACATATCTAACGGTTGATCACAATATTGAATCCGGAATGTATTCAAATAAGCGCTGAATAATTTATAAACGTCGATTAATCATAATTTGCACTTTACATTTGTACGGAATACATTTCTATACATATTTTTTTTGTACTTTAATTTATTTTTCAGTATATTTGATTGATTGCATTTCTATCCAAGCAAAATCATTAATCTTCATTCATATATTCAATGGTTTTTTTTTATTATATACATAAACGATTTGAAAATTAATAAAAATTTTATTTCTAATTCTTTCTATTAATATATAACAGTTAAATTTTTAACTTTATTTTGGAAATACTCAAATGACGTTGTTTTACATTGATGTATGTATGTATATATATGATAGATCTGTGTATAATTCAGGTGTTCTAGCTTTGTACATGGAAGGCATTGATACGCATTCCGTTTCCAATACAATTAATTGAGTTGAGCTGATTCAGAGAGAGCTATGTTCCACAATTGGTTGTGTTTGTGGCCGTTACACCGGAAATGGTAATCCAATTGTCGCAGAATGGTCAAGCACAGGTTTCTGCTGTTGCAATTTGAATGTGTTACAAAAATCAGAAAATTGATTCACTTCTGTAACATCCACGAAAAGAAAATAATTTCAACAACTTTAAATATAAAATAAAAAATATACAAAGAAATATGTATATTTCAGTTTAATAAAACTGAAAAAATTGTAGTTTATTCAAAAAATTTGCAAGTTCATTTATTTTTACAAAAATTGCTTTTTATGCACACTAATTCTCGTCTATAGGGAAAAGGGAAGTGTTTGTATCATTTTCAATTCATTTCTATTAATGATATGCCTTCAAATATTAATTATTAAAAAAAATATGGTTTGACCAAAGGAATATAAATCGTAATGTTTATGGAATAAATAAAAAAGTTGGCGTTGCAATTATGTAAATTAAATGCAATTATGTAAATTTTTCGGAGATTCATTGAAAGAATTTGTGTTGTTGCTTTAACAGAAAGGTACAAGAAACTGATGCATCTGAAGTGATCATCTACCGTCCAGGGATTCGCCTGTGCATTAACAAAATCCAGAAAATTCTGCAAATTTATTAAGGATTCATTTTTATTGCCTCATCTATATAAAAAAAAAATGCAATAAATGAAGCAGGTATGATTCTAGTAATTTCCTAGAATCAATGAAAAAGTTTGATAATTTTACTTTCATGGACAAGTAAACTATCAACTTTCTTTTATTCTGAAGTACAAATATTTATAATATACAGGAAAACATTCAATTTAAATAATTGTTGCTATTTTCTAAATTTGCACAAATTCTAACATTATTTTACTTTTTCAAAAATTTATTTGATTCTAGGAAATTAATAGAATCATACCTGCTTCATTTATTGCATTCTGTTATATAGATGAGGCAATAAAAATGCACCCTTAATAAGTTTGAAGAATTTTCTGGATTTTGTTAATGCCCAGGCGAATCCCTATAAAAGGGTAGATCATCACTTCGGATACATCAGTTTCTTGTACCTTTCAGTTAAAGCAACAACACAAACTACCCCAAAATATTTCAGCGATGAATTCCTTCAATGAATCTCCGAAATATTTAGCAATCAGCTCTGAAAACTACTTGCTGCACGAAGAAGACATCCACGACATGGAAATCAACGATGAAGAAGTCGAAGAGATTAACAATGAAGAGGAGATTGATGTAGTCAATGGAGTTATTGAATACTATCCTCCAGTTTATGTAGACGAGAGCAGCCGCGACGCAGATGACGAGCTGTCCTCTGAAAGCGACATGGATTATGACGAGGAGGATGAATCAGCATCAGATAGTGAAATGGACGAAGATGATGGTGACGATGATGATGATAATAATAATTTAGAAGATCAAGATTCCATGAGTACAGGAAACATATGGTTTGAGGATGAAGAGACCTGCAGAAAGTTGTTTGATTCTATGAGGAAGAGAAAAAGAGGTTTCAACAACAAGATTTGTGTTTTACGTTAAATCTTGTCGAAGATTTATGTTTTCTAGTAAATTTCTTGTAAATACTTATTGTTTATTCCCAAAGTTGACAAAAATAAAAATTAATTTGAATTTATATGACTTACTCAGATATATATTTATTTAACAACAAAAAATTGTATACATTTCATCTGTCCAGATTTGATAACAAATCGAAGATGTAGTATACTACGTAAAGTTTATTTTCAGTATGAAAGTGGTATTCGCTAATGAATGTTGGAATCGGAGGAAATAATGACCTACATTGTGTGCCAAAATTTAATTAAATAAAATACATAGGAAAACACTGTATTTTTTTATATCGTATAATTTTATTCACAATCTGTTCATCAATGTGAACATTGAGTAAATTTAAGATCGCGGTTGACATTAATTTGATAATCTTTCCCGGTGATGATTTGAACTTAAATTTGTATATACTAAATCTAGTGGTTTGCAACGCTTCAGCCAGAACATTAGTATGTGACTCCAGTCTATCTTGGAAAAAATATATAAGTAAAGTAAACTTTAAGGAAATATCTTATTATTTATTTTACTGAAATCAGTTCTGAAATTTATATAGCAAATATTATAGATTTAATCAATTAAACATAAAATATAGAAGCGTTGATGAAAATAAATTATCGATTCTAAAAAGTAACATCAAATTTCAAATCGTGCGCACGTTTATTTGTTTAAATTATTGCACTTTGTGCATTTGCGTTGCGTAATAATAGATGTAACTTAATACTGGTAATTGAGCGAACGAAGGTAACAGACTAATGGATTTGCATTACCAATTAAATAATTGATGTTTAACAAACAAAACGGGAGCCAAACAGGTTTTAGTCAATCAAATTTATTTATTTTTTTCAAATCCAAACAGAGATTTTATTTTCGTATTATTTTATTTTTTTTTTGTGAAAAATTGCAACTATATTAAAAGTTTCGTTGATTATTTTCGTTGGATTTGCATATAAATTGAAACCATACACATACGCGAAACGCGGAAAACGCAATAAAGCAAGTTATTTCTCGTTTGGAAATATCAGCCGGATCGCACTCACTTATCAACGAGGGTCTTTTATTATTTGAATTCGTTTCCAAGTCTTTGAGCTCAGGTGGTCGGCTCGCGAATATTCCCATCAGATTCTATCCGACCTGAAGGCAATGCCCAAAAACGTTCTTGGAAACGAACGAACATACACACACAAGAAAATTCTTGCTGCAAAAGTGCACGAACTGAACAAGCAAAAGCAACAGAGAATGTATTCATCTACCTGAATATTGATTCTCCCTTGTTATGTTACATTCAGTATTTTGATAGATCCTTGTTCTTTTTATCGTCTATGTTAGTATTAGTTACAGACATATATTTTAACGTTTTAATTAATTCAATATACTTTGTTAATTAAATTATTCATATTTGGACCATGTTCAATCTTAGTTCTGTATTTGTGTACAATGTTATATTTTGCGTAATCAACAAACTTAGTTTATATTCATTATTAGTCTACAATTTTTGTTAGATTGTGTATTAGTCTATAATCTAAGTTACATTCAGTATTAGTATACAAATTTAGTAATGTTCAGTATTAGTCTACAAATTTAATAATATTCAGTACTAATCTACAAATTTAGATACATTGTGTATTAGTCTATAATCTTAGTTACATTAAGTATTAGTCTACAAACTTAGTTACATTCAGTATTACTGTACAAATTTAGTAATATTTAGTATTAGTCTACAAATTTAGATACATTCAGTATTAGTCAACAAAACTTAGTTACATTCAATATTAGTCTACAAATTTAATTATATTCAATATTAATCTACAAATTTAGATACATTGTGTATTAGTTTATAATCTTAGTTACATTAAGTATTAGTCTACAAACTTAGTTACATTCAGTATTAGTGTAAAAACTTAGTAATGTTGAGTATTAGTCTACAAATTTAGATACATTCAGTATTAGTCAACAAAACTTAGCTACATTCAATATTAGTCTACAAATTTAATAATATTCAGTATTAATGTACAAAATTAGTTATAATAAGTATTAGTTCAGAAATTTGGTTTGATTCTTCAGTAGTCTACAATCTTTTATATAAAAAAAAACAATACCATTATTAAATATACATTCGATTGCTATTTATGTCACTTTTAATGGAGAGTGCGGGTGCAGCTTTATTTCAAACTGTAATTATCAAATTGCCATCACAGTAAAACTTGTACAGAGAGTACAGTAATTTGTTAATGTTTCCAAGGAAACATAAATAATAGACAGTTGAATGTTGCAATGAACAGCTTGTGTTGCCGTGTCGCGGAACTTGTTGCGATATGTGTTTTTAGTCGTCGCTGCATTATTATCTCGCGTGCACACATTCGTTTGTAACGAGCAGTGCGAAATAATTGTGAAAGTTGAGGGAGGGAATTAGCGAAATAAGTTCTGCACTGCCATTACTCAACACGAGGACGGCGGTAAATTTTCGTGTAATTTACATTTCAGAATTAAAACCGATTTCGAAAGCGACGACGATCGCGCATTTTAACGTCTTAAAACTGCTTTGTTTAATACCGAATTATTACCTTTAACTAACTGCAAATTTATATACTTATTTATAATCATTTACAATTTTTGCTGAGATGTACAGTATATAGAAATATCTACAGTTTTCTTTTGTGTAAATCTTGATTGATGGTTTTAGTTTTTGAATTCTAAAAGAAAATATTAAGTTTCAATTAAAAAATGGAGGGAATATTTATGGATTGTATAAAAGATTATTTTAAACTAATTTTATGGTAAAATGATAATGCTTTATTTATGACAATCTATGATAACTATAGTTTAGTTATAATTACTAATTTTAGTTTGCTGACGTAAAAGTAAATAGTAGATTAATTTTCACATAGTTATAATCAGTATTAGTCTACAAACTTAGTAATATTCGGTATTAATCTACAAATTTATTTATATGCAACATTAGACTACATATATTATGTAGTTGTCTATTAGTTACTTTTAGAATAAATCTACAATCTTAGTTACATACATTTTGTATTTGCCTACAAACTTAATTAGATTCAGTATTAGTTTATAATTATAACTAATTTAGTATAGGTCTTTAAACTTAGTTATATTCACTATTAGTCTACAATTATAGTTACAAACAATGCAGTTATAAATATACTAGTTGGTACACCTGACATCCATTTGTGTCACTTTTCATGGTAACACTTCTTTTATGACATTCTGTATAATGATAACTATAATTCAGTTGCAATTACTAATTTTAGTTAGCTGAAGTTAAAGTAAATAGTATATTAATTTTTACATAGTAACATTCAGTATTAGTCTACAAAGTTAGTTTCTTTCAGAAAAAATCTACAATCTAAGTTACATACATTTTGTATTTGTCTACAAACTTAATTAGATTCAGTATTATTGTACAATCTTATTTATATTCAGTATTAGTTTATAATTATAACTAATTTAGTATAGGTTATTGTATTAGTTATATTCATTATTAGTCTACAATCATAGTTACAATCAATGTCACTTTTCACATTTAAAAGTAAATATTTAAATGGTAACGCTTCTTTTATAAAAATTTGTATAATGATAACTATAATTCAGTTTCAATTACTAATTTTAGTTAGCTGAATTTAAAGTAAATAGTATATTAATTTACACTTAGTTTCATTCAGTATTAGTGTCCAAATTTATTGATATTCAACATTAGACATAATGAATTTCTCTACAAAGTTAGGTACTTTCAGAATAAGTCTAAAATCTTAGGTACATACATTTTATATTTGTCTACAAACTTAGTTATATTCGCTATTAGTCTAGAATCATAGTTACTAACAATGCATTTATAAATATACTAGTTGGTGCACCTAACTTCCATTTATGTCACTTTTCACGCTCAGTAAAAGTTAATAATTTAGTGGTAACGCTTCTTTTATGATAATCTGTATAATGATAACTACAATTCAGTTTCAATTACTAATTTTATGTAGCTGAATTTAAAGTAAATAGTAGATTAACTTATACATAGTTACATTCAGTCTGAGTCTACAAACTTAGTTATATTCGGTATTAATCTACAAATTTATTTATATGCAACATTAGACTACATATATTATGTTTGTGTCTACAAACTTAGTTACTTTCAGAATAAGTCTACAATCTTAGTTACATACATTTTAAATTTGTCTACAAACTTAGTTAGATTCAGTCTTATTCTACAATCCTATTTATATTCTATATTAATCTACAATCTTAGTATTAGCTTATAAACTTAACTAATTCAGTATAAGTCTGCAAACTTAGTTATATTCCCAATTATTCTAAAATCATAGGTACAAACAATGCATTTATAAATATACTAGTTGGTACACCTGACTTCCATTTATGACCATTTATGTCACTTTTCATGCACTGTAAACTTTAAAATTTATGACATAACTATAATTTAGTTGCAATTACTAATTTTATGTAGCTGAAGTTAAAGTAAATAGTAAATTAATCTATTTATAGTTACATTCAGTCTGTATCTAGAAACTTAGTTATATTCGGTATTAGTCTACAAATTTATAGTTATACAACATTAGACTACATACGTTGTCTTCAAAGTTAGTAAGATTCAGTATTATTATACAATCTTATTTACATTCTATATTAATCTACAAACTTAGTTATATTCAGTATTAGTCTACTATCATAGTTATAAAGAAGGCATTAATAAATATACTAGTTGGTACACCTGACTTCCATTTATGTCACTTTTCACGCACAGTGATGACTATAATGATGACTATAATAACTATTGTAACTGCTAAATGTATATAGGTGAAGTTAAAGTTAGTGTAAGATTTTTAAACTCAAATTCTCAAAAGTTTAAAAATGAATCAACATTAACATATTTCTGTTTGATAGTCAAAGTTTAAAGTTGTTAAAAAGTCAAGTATAATAAAGTCATAAAAGTTGTAATATTG